ACTTCCGAAAACAAGTGATTAATCAGGGTGGTATGTCAATATATGTCAGTTTAATGAATTTAGTGATGTTCCATTTGTATCTTTCCATTCATTATAAAAATAGACATTTTGTGAACACTCGTTGAAAACAAACACTTATTGAGATATATAATGTGCAAACAACCTTATTGAAGTATGTAATGTGAAAAAAAACTTATTGAGATATATAATGTGCAAACAACCTTATTGAAGTATGTAATGTGAAAACAAACACTTATTAAGATATATAATGTGCAAACAACCTTATTGAAGTATGTAATGTGAAAACAACCACTTACTAAAATGTATAATGTGAAAACAACCACTTACTGAAACGTATAATGTGAAAACAACCACTTACTGAAACGTATAATGTGAAAACAACCACTTACTGAAATATGTAATGAATGTGAAGTAGGTTTATTGATAAATAAGACTGCGAGTGAAGAAGAAAGAATTTGTCGATATTTAATCAGCAGAAGAATCTAGTTGTACATACATGAAATAAAAACTGAAAAAAATCAAGTAAATATTCGTGGAAACCTTAACTAAGTAGGACAGAGTTCTGCCTGAAATAAAAACATAAAATATAGTGTATGGAACTATTTCATAAAGGAAAAGCAACATACAGGAAGTAACTAAATATTAAACTGAACAGCAGTAGACTTTCGGTTTGAAACCAACTAAAACAAAATGAAAGATAACAGCTTAAATAATAGTGAAAATAAAACTTAAAAAAGAAGTTAAAAACATACAAACGAGAAATAAATTTTTTGACGATTCAGAAGGTTCCGGAAATTTGTTACACATGCTTACAATTCAGGTAAGATTAAAAGATTAATTGCTGAGCCAAGTAAATATCATGTATACATCAATAATAACAAGATTAAAACTTCAAAGCTATCAACTCCAACTTTAGTTTCTGGATCTGCTTCCGAAATAATGGGAAGTTTTGGTGTATTTTTCATTAAACCGCGAAAACGTAATTTATTCGCGGATACCTTTGGTCTTCTTATTTCTTACACAGCCTTGGCCAAAATGTTTGCATACCGTTTCATGTTGATGTTATTGTCTACATGCATGGAGTAGTTATTGAGTAAATGTCCGAGTAGTAACAGAGAAGGTAGCGTATCATCGGAAAAAGATGTTCGAGTTGTTATTCTGGTGTGTATAAGCTGTTTTGAGCATTTGTTAATCAACACACACATACACACCTGTTTTGTATAAAAGGGTGTGATTTTGGTATAATCTTTTTTTGAAAGTTATCAACGCTTTGTTCAAACAATTTATCTGTACTTGATGTAGAGTTATGCTTAGTTACGTGCCAAAAGTTATAGAGCGTCAAATTGCTCAACCATTCAGAAATTGTATTAAGTAAACGGACAATGTCAGAACAGTAGGGTACCCCCCAGTTTACTGTATCCAGAATCCTAAAACGTCATTGGATTACAGGAAACGCTGTTCCAGGAAAGTCTACTGGTAGACGCCGAAAAAACTACTGCCCGAGATGACCATGTTTTGATCAAGTTAACACGTCAAGGTCTTGCAACACCTTACGACAGGAATGGCATGAACACATTCATTCCAGCGTATCTAGGAGAAAGTGAATGGGAGACTGACCAAACAAGGTTAGTAACCAGAATTCACTGCCTCACCGTATTATTTTGGGTAAGATAACATCTAGACTTACAGTTAGGACATTGGCGACATGTCATCGTTTCAGTTAGGTCCTGTTTCAGGCTTGTTAAAGCTGATGGTAAGATTCGTATTCGTTGTTTGTCTGGAGAACAGATGAGGGAATACTGTATTTCTCACAGGTAACACACAAGAAGTGGTGCAATACATGTTCTAGTAGCTATTTATCATGATAGAAAAATTGCTCTTGGTATCATCCAGGAAAACTTCAATGGCGCCTCCTAAAGGCATCACACGGGGACAATATTTCTGCCACGTATTAGGGCAAGGTTTGGCAATAACTTTGTGTTTCGCGATGACAATGCCACTGCCTACAGTACGTGTATTGTTTGGGATTATTTCGATCAGTAAGACATTACAAGATTGCCATGACCAGCAAAGTCTTCAATTGCAATTCCATTCAGAACTGTTATGTAGAACTGAGCCGGAAAACTGCCAACAACGACCCTAAAACAGTTACTGTAGCTGAGTTGCAGCGACTTCTAGTGACAAGTTGGGATGAAATGATAGTGAATTACAACAATAACCTCATCGACAGCATACCACGTCACTTTGCGGTGGTTATTAGAGTACGATGAGGGCCAATCAAGTACTGAATATTTACTATGAACTAATATACAGTTACTGGTGCTATTTATAATAACTTGTTGTTATATTTTGTCATTATATATGTTTTTAGTAAGGTTTTGTTGTGATAGGTGAAATGTTGAATTACACATCTTTCTACAGGTGTCTGATACAATTGTTTATTATTCTAATAGCCCCCCACTGGCACAGCGGTATGTCTGCGGACTTACAACGCTAGAAACCGGGTTTCGATACTCGTGGTGGGCAGAGCACAGATAGCCCTTGTGTAGCTTTGTGCATAATTAAAACAAACAAACAAACAGTTTTAATAAATCGTTCATGAAGCCCATATAACCTGTCTAATTATACAAATTACATACGTTGATGTTTAATATAACATACATTTCTCAGTTTAACAATGCTTAGTGTATTTGTATTGCATCTTAATAATAATGATTTTATTTGTTACAAAATAAGCAAACGTTTTGGTCAAGACTGTATTTGTGAATTTTCTTTATAAAAAAAAGTAAAATAAAAATGGTGGAAGTCGGGAATCTGGCCCGTAGTTTCTTCTTTTGCATAAGATATAATTCAAATACTTGTTTAATTCCCTCGGATTTATTGTTGCAATAGTTCAAAGAAGTTCAGTTAACACAGTGAAGTTTCATTACTAAAGCTATTGTTGCGGTATTTAATACTATATATATACTTGTAACGAATTTGTTATTATATCAACGTTTGTTTAGATTAAATTTATATTTAGAAACATGCATAGCCTATACAGTTAAATATGTATTGCGAAACTCCCGCCTATTCTCCAAAGTTGTAGAAGATTCTCGAGAGTAAGAATCAACAATATGTGTGTGTACGTAAACGCTTTAACCTGCATTGTTACGTAATCTGAATTTTCTAGAAATCCTTTCCACGGCTATAAATATAACCAACGCAACGCGCCAAAGGGTGTGTCTATTAATAGTTCGTTATAAACTTCGAAAGCTACAACTGTGATTTTTATAAAGCTTATCAATCGGAAAACTTCAGATATTTGACAAGGACAAAGCTAGCTAGCTTCCTGGCGAATCGTACTTACATCAACTCGTAATTAACTCGCTCATCGTAAACCCTCGATAAGATATCAAGGGAGTTCCAAATTAGAAATAAGATTTTATATTGTTTGTAAGTGTGTGAAACTTTTGTTTATAGATCTTTGTTTATAATAACTATTTGTAATAATTGTTACTGTAAATTGTGTTGTTGTGTGTATATTAAAACGTATTTGTGTTAAAAACGAAGACGTTGTGTATCAATCTTGTTGGCAAATCTCGTAAATTGACTAATATATCGGTATTTATTTGAATACTATATCCAAAGTACAATTTAACTGCTAAATTTAAATTATCAATTAACTCAATTTCAGACCATTTACAATTCTAATACGTAACAATACTATACCATTTTTTTTCTTTACACTTAACACGAAATTCACGTACTTAGCTTTGTTTGATTACATTCAGAAAATCTACTATTTCCTATACATAGAATGGTAGCCTGTCATACTTCGCTAGCTGTTTCCATTCTAGGCCCTCTATGTTTTTCTCATTAGTCTGAATATTGCCAACCGCTTAGCTGACCTTTTGATGTGGTACATCCAACGGAACTGTTGCTGAACTGTTTTATTAAATTTGATGGGTCAACTAGCAGAAGTGATGACGCTTGTCTGGCCATCTCGATATTCGAGGTAAGATTAGGTTCAGACTTTAAGGTTATGATTTGAAATTTTCATAAATTTGGTAGTCAATATAATATTTTAATTGTTATCTGTTTTGTCTTTCATTTTTATTGTAACTATATTTACCCTTGTCCCTGATGGGTGGGGGTCGAGGGAATTGCAATCGGGTTCGTGTGTGTGTCTGTGTTTCCACGCGCGTATCTCGAAAACTAATAGATGGATGTATATAAAAATTTTACACAAGATGGGAAGTCAGTATTGGACATTCCTCCCCAAATTTGGTCCGAATCCGGATTCTGGATCTCTTTGAAGTATTTTTCATAATGGGGAGATAGAGTTTTTCGCGGTTTTGGGTTAATAACTCTGTAAAGTGGGATCGGATTTATCTCTAAGTTTCATGGGCACATTAAGGGTGAGACTTCTCATCACACTAAAAACAATTATCCGGATCATTGATTATTTTGGACGCGAGAAGGATTTTATTAATTTTCGAAGGTGAAATTTGATGTTATCCAAAATAAACTCATGTAATCTCGAAAAGGAGCGGCGGGTAGAGGGTATGCAATCTCTCTGATTGCTCTTTTATAATTTGGTTTGGTTTCTTTTCTTTCTGTTTATTTTTTGTGTAAATGAGCTTTAGTTTGCTAATTGTGAAATGATGATCATTGGGTCAATTTCTACGCATCTATCAACGTACTGACTTACTGATCAAATCCTCGAGACTCCAGTTTTTGCGGATTTTACTTTGTACCATTTAGATTATCACATTATCTTAAAACTAACCATTGATTTATAATTAAACTGTGATAAGGTATTATATCAATATAATTCGATTAATGATTGAACTTATATTGATTACCTCAATCCTTCTATTTTTTCCCATCCCTTCAAACATCGGAAATATATTACAAGAACTAATAGTTAAAACTTAAGATTTTCAACAGATGTAGAGACCTCGAAATAAACTCTATATCTAGAAATAAAGACATACCACAGTGTAAACTAATTAGTAAAAATATTCCATGAACAAGAAATATTTTCCTTGTTGTCGCTTCCATAACCTTATGGTCCAGAGTAGTCAAGCGCTAAGATCAGGAACTGACCACCAAAACTAAACATCCTGTCAGTTTTTCTGGTAAACTCTGTTAACACGGGACTGTCTTTCTGTAAAATCAAAATACCAGATATTCAATATATAATAGCATGTCGGAAAAATTCAGTTAAGTGTTACAATACACACTGAGAATCAAAATTCTGATTTAAATGAAGTTACATGATTTCAGGAGTTAAGGACAGCTACAGTTTATACTATCGCGTTTAAGTTTCCAGCATTTTTATATAAGAACACCTAGAACCTTACTTAAAGTGGTTACTACACCTCTTATTTAATTATTTCACCTAAATCACATATATAATATTCCACGTTTATTTTAACTTCAACACGCCAGCATAAACACGGGGAAGTCACGTGACTGGAAAATTTCTATAGGAATTTTTTCGCCACTTGCTTAATTGATGCTAATGTACTTACCCGAGCTTAAAAAATGCAAATGTACCAATGAGATATGATAGCCTTCTGATGATATTTCATGCTAGTATTTTCTTTATTATAAAGCAAAGAACTCGCAGTAAAATATTTTACTTATAGATAAACACAATATCGACAGGTGACGCTGTCCTCTAGATGTTTTGTATGTTTGTTTGTTTGTACTTAGCACAAAGCGACATAATAGGTTATCTGTGCTCTACCCACCACGGGCATCGAAACCCGGTTTCTAGCGTTATGAGTCCGCAGACATACCGCTGCGCCACTTGGGGGCTCTCTAAATGAAAATATCTAAAACTGTCGTCATGCTTGGAATTTAACTTGCAGATAAAAACATTACACCCTGCTAGAACCCATTTTTTTAGAAGTAATTTGAAACATCATTCGATAGAAAGTGATGTGAATAATTTTTTGAGGGCAAGTTTAATTATTTTAGAGTAGTTTTTATAGCATTTGTCAGAGTACCTCTGGAGAAGGTTTCTAACAGCATTAGGTTTGTTTGTTTGTAATTGTAATTAAGCACAAAGTTACACAATGGGCTATCTGTGCTCTGCCCACCACGGGTATCGAAACCCGGATTCTAGCGTTGAAAGTCCGCAGACATACCGCTGTGCCAATGGGGGCAGCATTAGGTTTCTTGTCGAACTCAGTTTTAAGGCCCCCTAAGTGACTCAATGGTAAGTCTGAAGGCTTATAACGCATAAAAAACTGGGTTTCGGTACAGCACACGTAGCTTATTGCGTAGCTTTGTGCTTAACAAATAACATTTTTGGACTTGGGTCTTAAAATGCTAGAATTCGGGGTTTTCGATCTCCGTGGCGGATACATTGTACAGCTTTGTGCTAAAATAAACCATTCAATTTACATAATAATATAAGGAACTCTTAGGGTACTCTTTTACCAACGAATAGTGGGATTGATCGTCACATTATAACGCCCCCACGGCTGATTGGAACCCGCGACCCTCAGATTGCCAGTTGAGCGTCCTAACCACTTGGCCATGCCGGGTCCTCATATATAAATAGTCGAAATAAACTATAATTTACATCACAGTCACTTCCTCCTCGGAAAATATCTTTAAAAATTAAATTATTTTACATTTTAGTGAAAACAAGATTTAGCACATTTTTTTTTTTCAAATACAGATAATGAAATTGTGTTTATTTTCATCGAAGAAACATATTAGGTTTTGAACTGAGGAATGAATTACACATTTCGTCAGCACAATATTTATTGACCGTTTTTGTAGTTCATGAGAACAATCATCTGGCCTGTAAGGAGAAGATAGTTTTGTGATACGTGTGGTTTTTTGTTAGATCTTATAGTATTTCTCATAAATATGTACGGCTTCATTTCATATCTAAAACATTAGAGGACCGTTTTGTATACTTCTATACACAAGAGTCCATTAGTTAGTGTTTTTGTTTAAAGGGCTAATTGTTCGAAGAAATATTTTGTTACAAATTAATTGTATGCCTGTCTGTCACATTATATGGCAATAGTGGTAAATATAAGAATATTTAAGCTATTGATTTCTTTCACCACTAATTTATTAACAACACACTAGTTGCTATGATGATTCTCAGCGGGTCGGTGTTAAGTCACGTCGGAAGAATTAATCATATCTCAAATCTTTAATTCAGTTTAGAGGAATTGGTACAGAGTATCAAAACACATTAATGAGAGTGAACTAATTCTGCGTCCGCTAATATATGGGGTTGAAATATAGTTATATACAGAGTCCAGCCGACAGACCGAATAATACACATAGACGCTGTTCTTATAGCCAAACGTAAAGCGAACTCTACTTCAGAGTTTTCAATTTTTAGGTAGTTCTCCAGTACGTCAGTGGTACGTTTACGGACTTACAACGCTAAAATCCGGGGCTCAATTCCTTGCTGTAGGCAGAGGACCATTATCCCATTGTATAACTTTACGTTAAAAAACAATAACGTTTAGATAAGGTTTCAAAGCGATTAATACTCAAGTAGACTAGAAATAGATTTTTTTAGAGTACTTGTGAACTTATCTACTCCTATTATATCTATACTTTTGTAATAACACACGCATCTTACAGATAGATCTATAACAGGTAAAATTACATTACCAATTGTATATATATATATATGTATGTGTGTGAAGAGAGAGAGAGAGATTTATAAAATATACAAAACTTTGAGGACAGCAGTTTCAAGTTATATCAACTTCACCAACGTAGTTAAGTCGAACATAAAAATGTCACTCAAATAACTGACGATAACTTATGTGGAAATATTTATTGTTTAATTTCTTGTTGCCATTATCAGTTAATGTTTGCTGCAACGTCTACAGTACCTACATCAACATATAAACCTCAATCATTATTTAGTAATGAAACAATGTCACATTGAGTGCGTATACATCGCGGGTATCGAAACCCGATTTTTAGCGTTATAAGCCTATTTTGGTTGATCTTAAGCTTTATGAATAACTATAGGATGATGTTGATTTTAATAGCAAGAGTAAATTTCGGATAATTATATATCAGGCTATCAGCGGCGCATTGAGAATCACAAGTTGTATTCAAGTTTCTACAATGTTTCAAAAATTGTCACAGAAGGAGTTCAATATGCTTTCCTTCATTCTCAATATGGCCCGGCATGGCCTGGTGGCTAGGGAGATCGACTCGCAATCTGCGGGTTGCGGGTTCGAATCTCCGTCCCAGCAAACATGCTTGCCCTTTCAGCCGTGGGGG